TTCCACCTTGGAAATAACCAGCACATCCACCCTGATCTCCCCGGGTTTGATGATGGACATGTGGCCCTGATCTTTAATGTGAGTTCCAACACAGGGATTGGAGGGGGGGGTGCCGCATCCGTAACATCCCCAGCTCTCACCCCCCGTGCTTGGTAGGGTTCCGTAGCTTTTAACAGAACTAAAGCCCAGCTTTAAAGACCCCTTCCTCTTGCTGCACAGTGCGGGGGGGTGGTGGTGCCTTGCCACAGCTGGAGAAAGTGCTGCCCGAGCACCCATCCATCTGGGGGTTGTACCAGCAACCCCGTGGGGCAAAGCAGCCTCTACGAGAGCCCAGGTGCCACCACTGCTTTTGGGCACCCTGCCATCCCTGCCCACGTCCCCCTTGTCACGCGCGAACCAGGGGACCCCCCAGCAGCGCCTTCGCAGCACCCCCGCTAGCACCAAGCCCCGCCGTTTTGCTTCTCCATCCCTTTCCTTCTCCATAGATTCCCTCCCACGCCTGTCTCCTGACATTTATTAGGAACACTGTAATAGATCAAGCTGTAAATTCAGGCAGATTTTAACAGGGGTGCCCACTGAGAGCCCTGCATTCCCAAAAAAGGGCTGACCGAGGACTGCAGTTCCCCAGTGAATCCCTCCAGGGAAGGAGGGGGATGAAGATGCTGCTGTGGTGAATGTAAAATTGGGATGAGCTGGGTGTCTACCAGGGGATGAAGGGCTGGGCCGGAGCTTGGAGCATGGCATAGCAAAGGACCAGCGTGATACCATGCCTGATTCATCTTTCCCTGCCTGGTTTCCACTGAGAGCTCCAGAACGAGGAGGGATGATGCTTAGAAAGGGACAAAGGGACCACCAGCATCTGCAGGGTGGGAGCTGCCGCTGGGTCAAGGGGGAGAAGTACAATAAAGCAGTTAAAAGGGACCAGAAGGACAAAGGGAAGGGGAGGACAGAGTCGAGGTGGGGAGGCAGGAGTTGGGATGCAGGGCTGGGGCGAGGAGCGATGCTCAGCCTCTTCCCAAGGTCCCAGGGAGACCAAGCCGTGTCTGGACTGAAGCTGGCAGCTGCTCATGGAGGTTTCCACACGTCTCTGGCTGCTCTTTCCTCCCTCCCACCATTAGCAGAGTCTCTCTCTTGCCAGCTCCATGCTACCCCCCTCGCTGCGCTGGCGCTGACTGCAGCCCCCAGCCTCAATCTCACCGTGAAGGTCTCTATACGTAGTTATATAGATCCATATGGGGCAGTGGCCACGGCTGGCTGGGAGGCGGCAGCCCCAAGGTGGCACACACAGCACGGCCAAGCTGTTTTTCACCAGGGGTTTCTGGGTTTATTTTTCCTTGCAGCAGCGCCTGACCGAGGAGCTGCAGACGATGGAGAACGGTTACCATGACAACCCCACGCTGGAGGTGATGGAGACCTCCTCTGAAATGCAAGAGAAGAAGGTGAACCTCAACGGTGAGCTGGGGGATAGCTGGATCGTTCCTCTCGACACCCTCATGAAGGAGGACCTGGAGGAAGAGGAGGACACGCATTTATAGGATACAGAACTCGATCAAGCAAAAACCAACCACCGCAACCCAGAAAAAAAAAAACCCACAATATAATCCCTACATGCACACAACTCCAAAACAAGGCAAAATTCCCAAACCCAAAAAATCCCTTAATGAACTAACCACAGCCCCTCGTGCCACCACGTGGGGTGCAGGATGGAAGAAGGGACACAAGAGGACACCTCTTGGGGCACGTTCTCAAGGCAAGCCACCACGGTGGCCGCATCCGGACGAGCATCCTCCATCACCCGGGTTGCTCAGCAGGACCCACCACACCAGCTGCGGATGAACAGGGTGGCTTTGCTCCTGAAGAGCTGCTGGTGTCTCCTCCGAGCATGTCCCCTGCCATCCCGCGTCCAACCACACCAACCGCAGCCTCCAGCTATCGAGAAACTCCAAGAGAAAAAGCAAGCAGTGTCACTGGGATGGGAGAGGGAGCACAAATCCCAACAGCAACCTGGCACCTGGCAATTAGAGCTAGAAAAATCCCCTGGCCCACGCGGTTTAGTCATCACTCTGCCCTGTCTGACATGAAACGCCCAGGTATGGAGCAGAAAAAGCTGGAACAGCCTGTTCTTTTTTAATCCAGTTTCCATCCTCTCCCCGTAAACTGCCAGCTAAAACGCACAAGAGCCCCACATGGTGCCACAGGCGGACCCAGGCATCCAGACCTGGCTGGGTGGGAGGGATGCAGCAGTGCCAAGCGATGCCCAGTCCCATGCCACTGCCAGCTGCACCACAAAGGGCTGTGGGATGGATCCCGCACCTGGTTGGAGACCAGGAAAAATGCAGCAGCTTCTGGCATTGTGCAAAGGGGAAGGACAAGTTCATCCTTGAGTTGAATTCCTTGAGTTCATCCCTCCGAGGAAGGGTTTAATGAGCCCAAGAGCAAGGCCTGCTCACCAGCCCAGGAATGAGGCTGGGGGTTTGGTGGTGCAGGAGGCCAGCTCCAGCACCGACCAGCTCTGCTGCCGCATTTCCTTACAGAAGCGTTGATTGCCTTCTGGTAATTACGCAGCAGCATCTCACGGCCCACATCCATCCTCCCCCGAGACCGTGGGTTACGCGTGCCGTCACGGCTTATGATTGTTGGGGTTGTGTTTTCCTGCGTGAGCAGCAGAAGAGAGAAAAGAGCAACAGAAGCACGAGCCAGGTAGCTTGGTGGTGTTCAGGGGTTTCCACTGGTACAGCCCGTAGAGTTTTCTCCTCGTGAGATTTATAAGCTCAGTCTACACTACCAAGTTTTTCTTCAAAAGCAGGTAGAATAACCAAAACCTGAGAAGAAAATTCCAGCTCAGCAGCAAAGTTGGGACTGAGCTTCACCACGCAGCCCCCGGTCCCTTGTCCAAAGGTCCTTCACTCTCTTTGCCATAAGTCCTCAGAGGGAAAGAAAAATAATGAAGAGCAGAAAGAGGCTGGACTGAGGCCATTTCTGATTTTTTACTCCCCACCACAGCTCCGAAATGGCTCTGGAAGGACAGGGAGAGTTTCACACCTTTGCTCTGGCTTTGGTGAAGCGGCTCAGCCCTGGCAGAGGCAGGGCTCAGAGAGCGGGGCTCCATCCTCCAGCACACAGGGAAGAGGACCAGAGGGTCACTTGGGTGAGTGCATCTCCCAGCACGAGGATGCTGGTGGTCCCGAGCCCTGCCGCAAGGCAGAGGAGCTGCAGATGGAGAGCGATTCCCCGGCACAGCCCTTCCTCTCCCCTGCTCACCATACACCACGCATTCACCAACACACAACAGGGTGATTTCCTTCGGGCTCCGCTGCCAGGTCAAACACGATGGGCATCAGCTCCCACGGCCACCTTGGCAGAGGGGAAAAGCAGAGCCGAGCAATGGAAAGCTTGGAGAAACCCAGGTCGAGTCCGTCCTTGGGAGTACTCATGAAGAAGGTCGGGGTGGTTTGCTCAGCCTCGGGAGATACGTCTTCTCAAAGGGACTGGCTCTTCTCCCTTCTCTCCTGCATGAAGGGCAGAGTCTGAAGTGTTTAAAACTATATATTTTTATATGTAAATAGTCCTGCTATTCATTAGCAATGTATCCAGCACACTTCATTCACTTGTGGACTGCACTAGGGGGAAGTAATTTTGGAGGAGGGGTGTGGAATTCAGAAAAAGCTGAAGGCCAGTCTGGTAGGGGATCAAAATTCAACATGAAGCAGGAAAATGCCTCCCACCCGGAAAACCCCGTGCCACGGCTTTGCCCCTGCAGCGTTGAGTTCAGCTCTAACGTTGCAGCGAGGCTCAAAGAGCCGGCCTCGGCATTTGCTTCCCAGTTGACCTGAGAGGCGCGTGACAGGTCAGTGACCTCTCGTTTCTGTCCTTGGCAGAAAATAAATGCGGTGAAAACACGGGGCAGCCGCGAGGCTTTGGCCGCAGGGGCTGGCCTTGCCGTGAGGATGCAGAGCATCTCCCAGCAGTCGGGTTTTGGCATGTGCCTAAGATCCCCCTTCCCAGCGAAGAGATGCCAAAGTGCTTTAATGAATCAGGTCCAAAGACTTTCCAAGAGAATCCTACAAAGGCTTGAGATCACCTTTTCGAGCAGAGACCAGTGATGATATTAACTGCTCAGCAAGTGCTTATAGTGATTTATATTTGAATAGGAATTGTACATTTATTTATTTTTCCAGACACCATATTTTTAAACCACTAATATTTTATAATAGATTTTCCTTCCCCTATTTAAAGAACTATTTCCACAGAAAAAAAAAAAACCAAAACAGTACGTTTTTTATGTTGAGAACATTCTTTTTGCAAAAAAACAAATCAGGTAGGAAATGCAGTGATGAGCATCTTTGGCCTTAAACCTTCCCTTCGTAGACTGTAGCCATAATTGTTAGACCAAAAATGTATTAAAAAAAAAACCTACCCAGGCATTTCCCCCTTCCCTGCCCCTCCTCCCTTGCCCACGCTCCTCTTCTCTCCCCCAAAACAGCTTTAACATCCGACACGTCGTACAAAGAGGTTATTGCTCTTACCTTTTGGTGAGAGTTTTACAAGCAGCTCAGATGTCCTTGCAAGAGACTTTTCAGATTCACAGGGAACATGTAAATATTGCAGGACCATTTATCTCCTGGCTCACAGTGCTGTGACCCAACTGACGAGGTTCATACTGTGACTGTTGCCTACGGAAGACATACAGGAGAAGACATAATCCATAAGGGACTGGAGAAGGAGAATCTATTTCCTAAGGCCCGTTGAACCTTGCACATATACTAGAGCTCTTATGTACTGTATAGCAGCATCTCTCACGGGGACAGGAGTCTGATTTACACTGGAATTTACTGAGGAACTGGATTGTAGAGATTATTCTTGCATTTTCCTACAAATATATTTTGAAAGCATCATTTATTTCTGTCAATAAACATTCTTATGTAAAAGACTTGTTTCTTGGCTGAGTGAAAAAAGGGGTGGGGGGAGCAGAGTTTGTGCTGGAAAGTCACAACTAGCCGTTACGCAGAGGTTACAACTGGCCACGGCTTGGGCTTATCTGGGAGCCCAGCACAGGCTCTGCACGGCCCTGCTAGCAAGAACACGGGAAGTTACTGGACCAGCCGGAGTGAGACCAACACAGACTTTCAGAGGCGGCCAGCCACGGAGGAGCTTGTATTTTTTCCATGCAGGATAGTGGTGAAAAAACCTCCCTTAATTAACAAAGTAGAAAACCCAGAGGGGTGAGACGCTCAGTTGATGCAGGCGAGGGCAGCCCCACCACTGTTGGAACTGTTAGTGGCTTTAGGCTCGCGTTGGCAGGAAGGGAGGGGAGTTCACCCCGATTTCTGCATTTCATCCTTGCTCACTCCTAACCCGCAACCTCCCCCCTCACGCTCAGGTCATGCTGTGGAGGAGGGAATCAAACCTGGTGCCCCCAGGCCAAAGCAGCCTAGGAGGGAGGGCCATCACGCGAGGGGACAGCGGGGTCGGCAGCAGCGTGGGCAGCTCGGTGTCTCCATTTCCCTTCAAGTACCCAAAATAAAACATTTGGCTCCAGGTTCGGTTTCTACTTAGAGGAAAGAGAAGAAAACAATTTGGTTTAAGTATCAGAAGCGGGTTATTGGCATCAGCCTATGTTCCAACTCCGTGTTCCTCCCCAGCAGAAGTTTTTGCAACTGCTAGGCACACGCTGGATTTCCGGGATACCGACCCAGCCCATCCCTGATTTCGGGGAAGCAGCTATTTTCTCAGCTGTTGTGCAGCACGGAGGGACGCGGCAGGCTCCTCCAGCAGGAACAGTGCCTGCTGCCCAGCCACAGCGCCCACCGGCTTCGCAATTCCTGCACCACCGCGAGACCTTCAGACGCATTCCCGTTCTCAGCAGCGAGCACCGTTAGAGCAAACAGATCTTAAATACACACCCTTGCCAGCATATACATTTTTATTAAGAAAAAAATGAACAAAATACATTCTCTCCATATGTACATTACATACAACATAACTACATTTGTAGATACTCCTCATATCACTCATTCATTTATGTACAGCACGGGGCTTACATACCAACCCAGAAATTACGAAAGATGATTTATGCCGAGGAAAAAAACCCCAACACTCCAGGCAGAACAAAGATTATCGGTTTAGCTGTAAAGAAAAGGGCAGGATGGGGAATCACCAGAGTCCAGGAACGATGTCTGTAACCACCATGGGCTCAACACTGGACTAGTCAACACCTGACCTGTTATTAACACACGTGCGCGGTTCGCAGATGCTCCTTTCCAGCCCAGGGCTGTCTGCACCCCTCCGATCAGCTCTCCTATGGTCAGGTGTCCAAGACAACGACGGCAGGACAGACACCAGAAGGAATTCAGACAGACACCAGAGTCTGCGGGATTGCTGTAGAGATGTAAAAGCTGCAAGTTGGATGCCAAAACAGGAAAAAAAAAAAAGGGCCAAATTCTGGACAGGGAGCGGACACTCACAACTCCAAGCACCACACAGGGAATAAAGAGCTTCTGGGGACCACAGGAGGGTGTAAAGGACAGGGTAATGA